ATCCTTCCCCTGGCCCCTAGGTTCCCAGGTTACTCTTCCTAAAACACTTCTTTTACTTGCTGGGGGATTTTCATAAACAGATTCCTTCCACCTTCATGGTTCTACTGCCTCTCTCCAGCCTCCAGCTTGAGCAGACCCCAGGCTCCCATCCTGGGGACCCTGAGTTCTGATTAGTAAGCATTCACCTGATGCTGCCCAGGTTCAGGACCACCAAGCTAGCTCTATGCCATGCACAGGCCATGTACCCTCTCCCCCCTTTCTAATTCTTGCTCTGAGGCCAGGAGCCAAATCATACTGATGGGGTATGGGCCCAAGCCAAGACCTTTGCCTCTTACCCCAAAAAGAATTTGGGTCCCATTGTCTAAGGGATTCTCCCACTTGATCCAGGAGATCTCTGGAGTCCCCCTGAAGTTATAATCCCATCAACTGGCCTTTTGTTATCACCTACACCCAATCTCCCAATTCTGTTACCCTTACCTGGCCTAGTCCTCCATTGTTTTACCTACCTGTGCCCCTGGTTATTTCCCACCCTTGATCCTATCTAGATCCCATTCTGGACCTCCCAGTCACACCCATCAAGATCCTTCCTAGATCCCTCCTACAGTCTTTCTGTATATAAGATCCATCTTGTCTCCATTAAGGTGCTCAGATTCCTTAAGAACCTAGCTAGTAGCTCACAAATGTCCAGATTCCTTAAGAGTCTGGCCAATATGGCGGATCCTTAATAAACCTTATCTTTGTCTGAAAGAAGGCTTGGGTCAAATTCTTTTGGGCAGGATCCATGCATTGTGATTTTGGGGTCCTAGCACCCCTAAACCTCTAGACTTCATCATATGGTTCCCTGCTAACCAGGAAAAACTGCCTAATCCCATGCTCTTCTTCAGCTGTGACTGGAAGGTATGTAAGCCTCCGGTCTCCCCCAATCTCTTTCTTGCCCTGCAGTTAGTGGATTTGCAAGCAACTGGGAATGCTTGGCTTGGAAGTGCTTTTCGGGCCTGACCTCTCAGGTCCCATGAGGTGAGGCAGCAACGAGATTGTGTTGAACTCGGCGTGACGCTCTCAGGCTCTCAGTCCAGTGGCTCTGTTCAAGACCATGGACCTGGGCATGCCTTCAGACTCCCTATCTGGAAGCTTAGGCCCCATCTTCTCAATGATCTCGGCCCTAGGGAATTGGGGAAACTTCAGGTACTTTTTTGGGTGTTTGGTTTTGTTTGTTTCCCGAGGCTTATTCCCAAATCCTTCTTTAAGGAGGGAGTGACTTCCAGTCCTTCCAGCAAAGGGTCCATCCTTTTCAATTTCCGAAGATTCACCTTTGGGCTGTCTTTTACAAAATTGGGAAAATTTTAGTTTCTCTAAAGAACTGAAAAAGAAAAGTCTGGTGTTCTTCTGCAACACTGTTTGACCTCAGTATCACCTGGAAAATTATGAGGTATGACCTGTTTTGGGGACATTACAGAAACATTCTCAAAGTTAGAATGATATTGTAGCGGAGAAGGAAAATGGGTGGAGATTCCCTACATAATGACTTTTGTCGAACTTTCTTGTGACCCCATTCTCAGAAAAGATCGTAGGATGCTCATAGCTAGAGCCACCCCACAAATGGGGAATGGGGATCAACTAGACTTTTTGGATGACCCTCTTATGGCCTCCAGTGCTAGAGCACCCCCCTTCCCATCTTCTGTTAACACCATCTCCCCAGCTCCTATCTCCACCCCACTCTCCTCTGGCTGCCCCTGTTTCCCATGCCCCACCCCCTTCCCTTGGTTCACCTTCCCTTTTCCTCTAGCCCACCTCCCTTCCTAACCTGCCTTGTTCACCTTCCGCATGTCCTATTCTGCATTTCCTCCCCAGGGCCCTGCTTGGAGGCGACCCCTACCCAGGCTTTGGACAAGGGCCTTGCCAGGGCACCTTCTACCCCTGGGCCCCAGTCTCAGTGATATCTCCTCCCCTTGTCCCTCCCCCTCCTCTGGTGCCAGCTGATTTTTCCCCCTGCCAGCTGGATCCCCTGGCTTTGCAGTCCAGTCCAGTTCAGCCAGCATTCCCCACTCCCTCACTCAGAAAAAGTGGGGCTTCCTATCTCGCTTCCTCCCTAGTCCCAGTTCCCACAGTGCCTTCAGAGCTTTTTCCCTTAAGGGAAGTTCCTGTCTCACCTAATGGGACAATTAGGGTTCATGTTCCATTCTCCATTTCAGACCTCATTCAGGTCAAAGAGAAACTGGGGCAATACTCAGACGATCCCACAAAGTTTGCTGAGGGCTTTAGGGACGAGTCCCTATAATTCGAGCTTCCTTGGGGTGATTTGCATACCTTCCTCTCCACCTGTCGTACCACTGAGGAGAAGAAGAGAGTCTGGGCACAAGGCCAAAAACTTGGGGACCATTTGGCTAGCAATGACCCCACAAAATACCCCCCAGGAACAGCTGCTGTTCCCACTAGTGACCCAGCATGGGATTATCAGAAGAGTGAGGATAGGGGAAAGAGAGATTACATGGCAATTTGCCTGCTAGAAGGCTGAGAACTGCATTTCAAAAGTAAGTAAATTTTCAAAAAATTAAGGAAATTACTCAGGGAGAAAAGGAAAACCCTGCTCTTTTAAAAAGTACACAAATTAAGATCCTAGCTCTATAGAAGGGGATGTAATCCTTAGCATGTATTTCATTCATCAGTCTGCCTCAGATATTAGGAGGAAACTGCAAAAATTGGCAATGAGACCCCAAACACCTCAGGCCCGATTACTGGAGATGGCCTTTGGAGTTTTTAACAGCAGAGACTAAGCAGCAGCAGAGGAAAGAAAAAGAAGGGAAAGGGCTAGAGACAGAGAACTTGCTCAATTCTTGGCTGCTGGTATGGCCAGGAAAAGACCCAAGGGTGCTCCTGGCATCTCCTGCAGTGGGGAAACCTGCTTTCAATGCCACCAGGAGGGTCACTGGTCCAAGGAGTGCCCCTCCAGGGTGCCCCCCCCGAGGGAGCCCCCTCCACCGATGCCTCTGGGACCATGACCAGGAGAGACATTGGAAGAAGGATCGTCTCCCAGGTTGGAAAAGTGGTGGAGTCAACCCCCAGCACGCCATCCTTCAGTCTTCTCAAGACTGGGCATGACAGGGGAGCCAGAGGCTTGGTAGCACTCCACTTCCTCCATCTCTCTCGCTGAGCCCTGGGCAAAAATCAAGGTAAGGTTAAGATTACCCACTTTATCATAGCTATGTTCTCTATTTTAACCAATTGCTCTGGCCCTACCCATCCCTCGACCCTTTTGGTCATGGGCATTGAAGGGAGAACTAAGGGATGTCTCCAGACACACCCCCTCCCCTGCCTGTTTGAGGATCTGTTGTTTGAACACTCCCTCCTTATGGTCTCCTCTTGTCCTGCCCCTTTGTTGGGCAGGGACCTGATGGTGAAGCTGGGGAGCCAATCTTCTCTACTTAAGCCTCCCATCTCCCTTTTTTCTCTGGGCACCAGATCTTCCCCCAGAAGTACAGGAGACAATTGAGCTAACTGTTTGGGATCAGGGAATTCCTGGGTGAGCTACTCATGCCACCCCAGCCGCTGTTCACCTCTGAGATCCCAAAGTCCCTAATTTTGTTCTTATTGCTAAACCCTTTTGTGATTCTACTCAAGAGCCTGGCTCACTCCCTCTAGAGTGGGGCCCCAGCCAAACATTGAAAACTAAACGGACCACCCCTCCAGCATTAATTCTACTCAGTCTAGAAACACCTTTCACTCTGTATGCCGATGAAAGGAGAGGACAGAGGACAGGCTTTGGGAGTCCTAACTCAGTCCTTAGGACCTGACCCCAGGCCAGCTGCTTGTTTTTCAAAACAATTAGACTCTGCGGCTGCTGGAGGTCTTCGTGCCTCTGGGCAGTGGCTGCAACAACCATTCTCTTTAAAAGCCATTTGACCCGCAGTGAGCTAGGAGAAACCAACCGACACGTCTGTCCAGCTTGCCCAGCTTGTATCCAGAGACTCTGGAATATACCTGTGAATCCTTGGAGGACCTCAAGCTGCTGTTTGGAAAGGCCCCAGCCCCTTCCACTGGACAGGTGGATAAAAAGAGGTGAAATCATACACGCCCTTTTCCTTCTAGGTTTTTACCTCGCCACAGTCATCTTTAATTCCCTCCAGGTAAATTGTCTTTTTTTTTTTTTTTTTTTTGGCTAGGCAATGGAGTTAAGTGACTTGCCCAGGGTCACACAGCTAGTAAGTGCTATGTGTCTGGGGTTGGATTTGAACTCAGGTCCTCCTGAATCCAGGGCCCGATGCTCTATCCACTGCGCCACCTAGCAGCTCCAAATTGTGTTTTCTTTATACTTTTGTGGCTGTTTGGTCCCTGTTTGTCAAGGAACCTCCTTGCCAGGTTCGTCTCCTCCCGGGTCCTAGCCATTGTGAGAAATACTGAATTACTAGGTTCCCACATAGGTTGCAAAAAAGAGCAAAGGTGCCGAATGGTGAACGATTTCCACATAACGTACAAAGCAGGATGCCAGAAGGAGGGGGGAGTTAAGCTCGGTTAACTTGACGGCAGGGTCCCGCCCAAGGGGTCAGACTTCGGAACCTGGTGACTGTGGGAAGGTCGGTGTGCCCGCAGGGCTGGATCTGGAAGCCGATGGCCCGGCGCCTGCCATCTCCAGCATTTAGCACAGCGACTGGCGGCAGGAAAGCGCTCGCCAAAACGCTTTTTCATTCATTCTCTCAGCTTCCTCCTTCGTTAAGGGAAGCGGCGTTAACATCACTGACCGACGTCCCTGTGCCAAGCTCCCTCCCCCTCCGACGTTCAGCGCAGAAGAGGCGGGGTCCTGGGGGCCGATTGGCCAATCGGATGGCGAGGGCCTGGGGGCGGGGCCTGGGGCGGGGCGGGGCCAGGCCCCTCCCCTCCGGGCTGTCACCCTGGGCGGGGAAAGGGAACGTGTTGGCCGCCCCGCGAGCCGCGGAGGTCCGGGGCTGGGCTCCGCCCCTCCCCCTCCCCCTCCCCCTCTCCTGTCTCCTTCCTCCTCCAGCTCAGGCTCAGCCCGGGTCACTCCCGCCACCCCCGCAGCCTCCGCCACTCGCCCGGGCCTAGGTCATGGCCAGCGGGGAGACGTCCCGGAGGAGGGAGCGCGTCCTGTGCCTGTTCGACGTGGACGGGACCCTCACCCCGGCTCGCCAGGTACGGCCGCCCCGCAGACTCCCGGGCCCCCCTCCCCGTGCACGGCCTCTGCCTGCCGCCCTTGGATTCGGACTCGGAGAATGAATGGATGGACGCCAGGCGGGAGGCAGATGCCGGGTCAGGGCAGGGAGGGGCTCGGGCGAGAAACGGGGGGCTGGGGGCCAGGCCGGGGTGGGGGGGAGGAGCGTGTGTGCGCGGGCGTCTGGGCGGGGAGGCCGGGAGGCCGGGAGAACTTGGCTTAGGAGCCTGATGCCGAGGAAGCGGGATGAGTGCAGGCACCTCCCTGGGGCTCAGCCCCCAGCCTGCACCCCAAAGCCCGCCTGACGCTCCCCCGAGCAGCCTGGCGCGCTCCCTCCCACTTGTCACACCGCCCTCCCCCTAACTACCCGCTCTGCCGTTTCCTCGCCTTGGACATGCCTCCCACCCACTCCTGCCTCTCATCAGCTCCGGGGGGCCCCCTAATTCCATCCCTTCCCTAGGACTGTCCCCCCACCCTGGCTTTCACGCCGGGCCCAGCCGTCCCCCCACCCCCTCTACCAGCCCCCAACGCAGCTGGGCCATCTAGTCCCTTCGCAGAGGCCTTACTCTGCTGGTACCTCCCTCCATCCTAAACTTCTCTCGCCACCCCCCCCCTGTGACTTCTCCCCCCCCCCCCCCCGCGCTCTGACCCCCACTCCAGCCTAATATCCCAAGGGGTCTTCACCGTGATCCCTATTTGGACCCCTCTGACAGTCTGCTGCACCCAATATTTCCAGAATCAGATTTTTCATTTTTTTTCCTAATCCAATTTTTTAAAAAGTTTTTCATTTTCATTTC